GTCAAAATCCATCATGTGAACCCCCCCCCGTCATCACAGAGACGTCCCCCTCCGTAATGCAGGTGGCATTGCGCTAAATTGCAGGATGAAAATCTATTGAAGCGTCCTATCCCTGACACAAATCATGACCGGAGCCTTTACCGCAAACCCAATCTTAACTCCAACTCAAGCCTTAACATCGATCCCCACTTTAGCTGTAGGACTGGGGGTGCGAGTGAAGGTTTAGGTTAGATTGGGGTTAGTGTGAGGTTAATATACGGACACGTGTGTGTCTCCTGCAGTTTTGCGCAAGGCTGCCTGTATATCCGAGAAAGGGGGTGTCGAAAGGAGTGATAGTTGACTACAGAAGGTTCCCTAAGTCAGAAGTCAGTAAGACCAATTAGGTGGGACAGTATATTGTAGGAAAAGGAACTAACAAAAGGCTCTACAGAAAAGAGCAGCTCACAGTAGACCAAGCAGTTGCTGTGTTCTGTGTTCTGCGCAGGGTTGGGGGCAACCTCTGACCTGTCCTGCAACCAATCAGGAGAAGGTGCACAGCTCGCGAGGCAAAAGGCAAGGGATCGCGCCACCAAGATATGGACAGTCACGCGTGCTTGGTTGGCGGGCAAAGGCATGATGAATCACGCGGGGCGGAGAGTCACATGCGGGCCTGCAGCCTGGCAGGAGAGAAAAGATATCAGCGCAAGATTGATCGCAGGACCGTCACAGAGGGGTAGGGACGGTTCCATTCATGTGTTATACCATACCCCTCTTTCAACGTTTTTCTTGCAATTTCGCGCCTCAAGGCACACATTATTGATTCCACAGGAACTCATGAAGGCCTCCAAAAGGTATGCCTTTCATGGCCGCATAGAGACTATTTAGATGAACACGAGTGGGTAGCTTGTCTGCATTTATAAGAGGGGGAGACTAAACGGTGCCTTTCATAGAACTGACGGTTTGCTTCTCGTTTGTCCAGTTCGGCAACGGTGGCGTCCGTTAAATTTTGTGGTATCATATCCGTGTCTCCAGACATTCTGAAGCATCAAGGGCAGTCGTTTCAGAATTTGAAGACCATCGTGTTGTAGGCATTTGCTGGGGTTTATTGGGTACCATGAGCTTCTTCACTTATTGATTGTTCGACCATCGATTTCGACTAAGTCCACCATATGCGCCAACAGGTTGGTGCAGTGATGGTGACTGGCCACAGGGGGTTGCTTTAAAGTGATAGCAGACGTATTTGGCGCTAACTTCACTCTACCTTCCCATGGGTCAAAAAGACCAGATTGGATCCGGCGTTGGCCGCTTTCTCCAGTGCAAGCCAGAAACACCGCCTAACTTTTTCTTAAGTGATTGTAGACTTTGCGCGGGTACCACTGCACTACCAACCCTCGTTTACCTTCAGTAGGTGTTAAGACAGGTTCAAGGAAGCCGAGGCTGATACGGCTACTACTACTATTTCTACTAATACTAACTTGGACTGCAGCTGAGTGTTATTAGTACTGGCACTATTTCTGACTGTAGTATTAGTCAGTGGTGACGTGGATTAAAAGTCACAATGGGGCGCATACTCCCTTGATCTCGATAAGGAGTGTGAATCTGACTTTAAGCTATTCCGAGTAAATACACCTTTGAGGCTCTGAGCACATCAGGGCCTACCTTACTTTCTGCCCTCTTAACTCGATCCACTAAAAGCTGTGTCACATTCTACTAAGTTTGGGCTAGGATGCTCCCGCTAGAGGTAATATGTCACTGCCAAGAGTGCTAATTCTAGTAATCATACTTCCTAAGACCAGCGGATAGTATATTCTAGAACTATATTCTTATAATTGTATCAGTAGCTGTCATGTATCCTATTTTTGCAACAAACAAAACTGAATGGAATATGAGCTTATCCGCGTCCTAAACTTCATCTGGGCAGATTTGTAAGACACCCAGACGAGGAAAAATGGTCCAGATCAGGATCTACTACTGCACAATACAGCTATTTGTCCGTTAAGTTTTTAAGGAAGGTAAAGGATTGCCCGACTCAACAGCAAGATAACGAGGAGATCCATGATGATATTCTTTTGACGGCTAACACATTTCGAGCGTCGCGGTGCTCGTGATTTGAATGGCCGCTTCAGATGACGTTGTAGCGTCTTCCACGTCCTACACCACACCACAGAAGAAATCACTTGATTGCAGTTCTAGACCTGCATCTGGGACAGCCAATAAACGATGCCATGAGGTACTATCGGCCAAGGAACTGATCAAGCGGACAATGACTCACTCTCGCGCAACGTTCTTCTCTTCCCACAGGGAACTGGGTCCGAAGAGAACAGAGGGAAGGGTTTTCTCTATTAACTTAACCCATTACGATAACCCTACAAACTAGAAGTTTCTTAGGTGAGTGAATGAAAGGAACGAAGTCAACTCTCGCATGCCTTGTAAGATTTGCAAATTACTGGCCTGACCTCCGCTCACCCCACCAATCATGACTCAGTGGTGGTAAGACTCAGTCAAGGCGACGGACGATGCTCAGGGCGGCGCAGTGGCCGTCTTGCCACTAAGCTAATGTCTAAACACTTTACGATACAGCTGATCTCGCTATCGCGACCAAAAATCCTCACCTATAAATAATTCCACCTTTGGAGACGCGCCAGTTACCGCCTTCGGGTTTTATCGGCTGGGAGAAGCTGTTTCCGGGCCGCAACTACAGTGTGCCGCACGCCACATCG